TGGAGCTACAGTGTGCTAAACAAGATGGCGCACTCCCAGGACTTGCTTACCTGGACACAGCCAGAGGAGTCAGGCAAATAGTGGAAAAACTTCCCTTCAACCTACAGGAAAAGTGGACAACTGTAGGAACACAGTACAAGGAGACTCATAGTGTGTCATTTCCTCCTTTCTCAGTTTTCACACAATTTGTCCAGCGGTAAGCGAAAATGAGGAATGACCCAAGCTTTGCTATGTCCAAGGCCAACACCAGTGTCCCTTCCCCACAGAAAAGCTGAGGTCTTATAGTCGCAAACCTACCGTGTCAGCACACAAAATGGACATTACGGCAGACCCGGACCAGAATAATCTCAGTCCAAAGAAAATGGAGGAACCGGATCGCCAGTGCCCAATCCACAAAAAACCACATCCACTCAAAAAGTGTAAGCTCTTTAGAGACAAACCTATTGAAGAAAGACAAGCCTATCTCAAAGAGCACCACATATGTTACAGATGCTGTGGGTCTGTCCAACACATTGCGAAAAACTGTAAAGCAACGGTGAAGTGTATTGAATGTGACAGCCTTAAACACTTATCTGCAATGCATCCTGGTCCTACTCCTGCCCCTAAGAGTACTACACCAGGAAACAACGACAATGAAGAGCAAATCGAGAGTTCACCTTCAGTCGAGTCAAAGTGCACAGAGGTATGTGGCCAAGGTGATAGCCCACGTTCATGTTCTAAGATCAGTCTGGTCAAAGTGTATCCCGCAGGCCAAAAAGAGAGAGCTGTAAAAATGTACGCTGTAATAGATGATCAGTCAAACAGGTCACTGGTTAAGTCAGAGTTTTTCAGCCTTTTCAAAATCAATGCCAAACCCACTCCATACACCTTAAAGACTTGCTCTGGCAGAGAACAAGCCTTAGGTAGGAGAGCTGTAAACTTCTTCCTCGAGTCCTTGGATGGAGAAGTCAACATCCAACTACCCCCTTTAATTGAATGTGACTCTGTTCCAGACAATAGATCTGAAATACCCTCTCCAGAGATTGCTCAGCATCACCCACATCTTCTTCCAGTGACAGATAACATCCCACCTGTCGACCACCACGCCCCAATCCTTTTACTCCTTGGAAGGGATGTCATCAGGGTCCATAAGGTACGTGAGCAAATCAACGGACCCAATGATGCACCATACGCCCAAAGGCTAGACCTGGGTTGGGTTATTGTGGGGGAGGTGTGTCTAGGAAAAGCACATGGTCAGTCAGAGGTCAATGTCTATAAAACACACACCTTAGATAATGGACGTCCATCCTATTTTGAGCCTTGCCCAAACACAATTCACGTTAAAGAGAATTATGGGTCACTATGAATGCAACCTGCATCACAGACAATTTGGGACACTCTGTGTTTGTTAGATCTGAGGGTGATAACAAACAAGCCATGTCTATCGACGACAGAGCATTCCTGACAATAATGGACAATGAAGTTTATCAAAACCAAGAGAACAGCTGGGTTGCACCTTTACCCTTTCGCTCACAGAGAAGGAGGCTCCCTGACAACAGAGAACAAGCCCTAAAACGCCTCTGCTCTCTCCGAAAGACTTTGGAAAAGAGACCAGAAATGAAAGATCACTACATCCAATTCATGCAGGCAATGTTGGATAACGACCAAGCCGAGCCTGCCCCGCCTCTGCCGCAAAATAAAGAACATTGGTATCTGCCCACGTTTGGTGTATACCACCCACAGAAGCCAAAACAAATACGAGTCGTGTTTGATTCAAGTGCAGAATGTGGTGGAATTTCGCTCAATCAAGTGCTTATTGGTGGACCTGATTTGAACAACTCCCTGTTGGGAGTGCTGTTGCGCTTCCGCAAAGAGCCCATAGCCCTGACAGCCGACGTGCAGCAAATGTTTTACTGCTTCGTTGTGCGCGAAGACCACAGAGATTATCTCCGTTATCTGTGGTATGAGGACAACGACATCACAAAGAGCATAGTCGAGTTTAGAATGAAGGTCCACGTGTTTGGAAACAGCCTGTCACCAGCTGTCACCATCTATTGCATGAGACAGGCAGCACAGCAGGGTGAACGAGAACACGGATCTGATGCAAGACAGTTTGTTGAGCGTCAGTTTTATGTTGACGATGGTCTCACATCAGTCGCCACACCAGAGGAAGCAATCAACCTGCTCAGAAGAACGCGAAACATGTTGGCAGAGTCTAACTTACGCCTTCACAAGGTGGCATCAAACTGCAGTCAAGTCATGGAAGCTTTCCCTGTTGAGGATCGTGCAAAGGACCTGAAAGATTTAGACCTAGGAGTAGACCCTCTTCCAGTTCAGAGAAGCTTGGGACTCTGTTGGAACCTACAATCTGACAGCTTCACTTACCAGGTGTCAAATGAGAGCAAACCATTCACACGGAGGGAGTATTGTCGACAGTTAATAGCCTCTATGACCCTTTGGGATTTGCTGCTCCCATAATAATGCAGGGCAAAGCATTACTCAGGGAACTGTCATCTGATGGAAAAGACTGGGACACACTCTTACCCCCTGAGAAACAGGAGAGGTGGGACTCATGGAAAGACTCTTTGCAAGCCCTTGAGAACCTCCAAATACCAAGGTGCTACGGCCCAGGTACGTTAAGCACAACGAAAGTGAAAGAACTTTGCATTTTCTGTGATGCCTCCACTGTCGCTATAGGTGCAGTAGTCTATCTGCGTACAGTTGACAGTGAAGGACAGTGTCATACTGGGTTTGTGATGGGGAAGTCTAAACTCGCACCTCGCCCCGCACACACTGTACCACGCCTGGAACTATGTGCTGCTGTGCTCGCGGTGGAAATGTTTGAGCTCATCAGAGATGAGTTAGACATTAAAGTAGACAATGTGACTTTTTACACAGACAGTAGGATTGTGTTGGGGTACATACACAACACCTCCAGACGATTCTACATGTATGTTGCCAACAGGGTTACGCGCATTAGAGCATCCACCCATCCGAGTCAATGGCATTATGTACCAACTGAGTTAAATCCAGCTGATCAGGCTACTCGGTTCATTCCAGCAGCAGACCTGCAGAACAGCACCTGGTTCTCAGGTCCATCCTTTCTGTACCCTGACCCACACACAGAACCACACACTGGTCCTTTCACGCTCATCGAACCTGAAAGAGACGGAGAGATACGTCCGGAAATAAAAGTAATGAAAACTACTGTAGCAGAGCCACAGTTAGGTTCTGACCGTTTCAAAAAGTACTCAAACTGGATCACTCTTTGCAGAGTCATAGCCAGACTCATTCATGTAGTTACATCTTTTGCACAAAAGACAAGTGGACAAAGGGGATGGAAAGGTTTCAGTGAGACACCGAGCGTCCAAGAACTCACCCGAGCCCAAGTAGTCATCATTCGAGCTGTCCAACAAGAAGCTTACAAAGGGACGCTTGAAAACATTAAAGAAGGAAGGAAGGTCAGTGGCGTGTTTGATACACTCAAAAAGCTCGATCCTGTGGTGGACAAAGACAGTCTCTTGCGAGTTGGTGGACGTCTTTCCGCCGCCGATCTCACAGAAAACGAAAAGCATCCTCTGATTATCCCATCTACCAGCCACATCGCTATGCTAATTGTGACTCACTACCACGAACAAGTGGCTCATCAAGGAAGACACATAACTGAAGGAGCTATCCGTGGTGCTGGGTACTGGATAATTGGAGGGAAGCGGCTTGTGTCATCTGTCATTCATCGGTGTGTCACATGTCGCAAGTTGCGAGGCAAAATGCAGATCCAGAAAATGGCAGACTTGCCTGCAGACCGAGTCACCCCTGAACCACCCTTTACCACTGTAGGCCTAGATGTATTTGGGCCATGGACTATTGTGACGCGTCGTACAAGAGGTGGTTGTTCCCAGAACAAACGTTGGGCTGTGTTATTCACATGCATGTCAACTAGGGCTGTGCATATCGAACTGATAGAGACTATGTCTGCTGATAGTTTTATCAATGCATTAAGAAGGCTCTTCTCTATTCGGGGCCCAGCCAAGTTTCTGCGCTCGGACAGAGGCACGAATTTTGTGGGCGCTTGTAAGGAATTAGACCTAAACTCAGGAAACAAAGCAGTAGGAAAGTACCTGCAAGAGAGAGGGTGCGTTTGGACTTTCAATCCCCCTCATGCGTCTCATATGGGAGGCTCGTGGGAGCGCCTTATAGGCGTCGCCAGGCGGATTCTGGATGCAATGTTGCTACGAACTGAACAAACACGCCTTACTCATGAAGTGTTGTGCACCTTCATGGCCGAGGTGATGGCAATTATTAATGCAAGGCCTCTTGTCCCCATATCCACCGACCCTGACAGTCCTGCAGTACTCACTCCAGCAGTGCTACTAACGCAGAAGATGAGTGCTGTGTCCGCCCCACTTGGGAACTTCTCATCAGGGCAGCTGTTTGGGAAACAATGGAAACATGTTCAACTCCTCGCTGACACTTTTTGGAAAAGGTGGAAGGGAGAGTATTTATCCACCTTACAAGGTCGTGCAAAATGGACAGAGACTAGACCTAATGTCAAAATAGGAGATGTGGTCCTGCTAAAGGACTCCCAAGCCAGCAGGAACGAATGGCCCATGGGACTAATAGTAAAAACATTCCCCAGCAGCGACAAGAAGGTCCGAAAAGTGGAAGTGCGGACTGTAAAAGATGGGACTGTTAAAATGTTTCTCAGACCAGTTTCAGAGATTGTTTTGCTTGCAGAGACTGAATGAATATTCTTCAATGCTAGATGATGTTTGAATATGTTGTATTGATGTTTATTGTGATATAATGTGTGTATATCAAGCGGCGAGTGTTATGCCCTTGAGTCAAAGGTCAGCGGTTGGTGTGTGTGCTGATTGAGCCACATAAGCAGAGTGATAAATAAGCTCAGAGTGAGACATCATTTCCACAAGAGATCTTTGTATCCTATGTGCGGAAATGGAGCGAGGGAGCGTCCTGTTCACTAACCTATCTTTGATGTACCCTTTCGTTTATGATGTCGTGAAAAGTGCTCCGGCAGTTATTAAATAGGGACTAGTTCATGTTCACACTAAGAGTGCTCTACACGTTCGCACCTCGGAAAACGTTCGTCTTTGTGAGTATTGACATGTGTAGATGTAACCCAGTGTTAATTTGGTTATCTGATATTGTGTGATATTCAGTATATATGTATATATCTATATTGGGTGTTATAAAATGTTCTTCAATGATTTTGAGTTTTTTTTTTTATTGCTATTGGTTTGCGGCTGCTTTACGACAGTCGACTGTGGTAGTACATCCTAGCGGGAGGGGCTATGAGCTCACGTGGCTTGTAGCTGTGCCAGAGAGCAAGCTGGGGTGAGCTAGCGGGGAATATCGCCTTCTGCAGTAGCCTTGAAAAGGACTATTGTTCGTTCTCCTGCCAGGTAAAAATCAGTTTCGTATGTATATTATACTATTCCATGTGTTATCATGTGTTTGCTATGATGTGATGTGTAGTAATGGTTATTAAGGTGCTAATCGCTAATCGAGGCTAAGCTAGCAAGCTCGACAATTAGCCGCCATGCTAAGCGGACGTTGGTAGCCAAGTTCGTATGTCACTAAGGGGCTATGAGCTCACGTGGCTTGTAGCTGTGCCAGAGAGCAAGCTGGGGTGAGCTAGCGGGGAATATCGCCTTCTGCAGTAGCCTTGAAAAGGACTATTGTTCGTTCTCCTGCCAGACGCTTCGCTGCTGTGCTGTCTTACTGCTGTGCTGTCTTGCTGCTGTGCTGTCTCGCTGCTGTGCTGTCTCGCTGCTGTGCTGTCTTACTACTGTGCTGCCTCGCTGCTGTGCTGCCTTACTACTGTGCTGCCTTACTGGTGCCATTAAAGGACAAGCGGCCGCCATCCCTTCATCCATCCGGACCTTGATTATTTGGACCGAAGTACTCACACACACGCCCGCACTCAGTGCCATACACTCTCTTTATTTTGCTGGCCAGCTAATACCATTTGTTTTTTTTTTGTTTTGTTTTCATTCACAAAGACTATCCAAAGACATTTTGGTTATTGTCAAATAGACACTCTTTGATTACGGACTGAGGAGGTTGTGGTGTTACAACCCCAGGACTGAGAAAAAGGACTCTTTACATAATATATTCACTTGTCTCCTGGTTAGGAAAAGTGACTATTGATGGAAATATTTTTTTCTTCTTCTTGTCTTTGTTTACATTGTATCTCAGAGAAGTTTTAAGTTGTTCAGGTTGAAACATTTGCACTTAAAGTCGGTTAAGTTTCCTTTGATATATCAGTGTCAAGCTGATGTTTAAGAGGGTATGTTAAGGACAGATGTGCTCCAGTCCATCAATCCTTTAAAGTGCTGGACACCGATGGTAAATTGCCATCAGACCCTAAATAAATTGTCCTCTGCTGTTATCCATATTGCTTCACTCATTCTTTGGTGAGTAGACGTATTGGTTACAACTAAGAGTAGTAGGAAAAAAAAATTGGCGCCCGAACAGGGACTGGAGCGCATCACTAACTTTATCCTGAAGCACATGCTCAGACATCTGTGAATTCATCTACTGCTTTGCAGAGAGAGACAATGGAGTTTTGTGACAGGTATGGTTTTGATCCAGAGTACACTGTTTTGTTAAAAGGGGCTAAAGCCGGGATTAAACTACAAGAGGTGCAAAGAGCATTTGCTTTGCTGGATCACGTTGTCAAAATTCAACAAATAGATAGTCTCCCTGACACTATTTTGTGTCAGTTCATGGAGTGCATTACCCCAATGCTCTTAGATGGAGAACATTCAGCAGATGGGGAGTGTTGGGAGGTTATTCAGATAGATGAGTACTGTCCTCAGGGACCTGACAGTTTTCACCTGGCGCATGATGTGGTCCCCCTCGCTCGAGCAATTGATGATGTGACTGCTAGTTTCAGAGAACAAGTAAACGAACTGGCATTAGCATATAATGTGAGCCCCATGACTTTAAATCAGGCTGCAGTGAGCCACATGTGTGGGAAAAATGATACATATAAGGGGTTAGCTACCTCAACTCCTGCCTTGGGAGTTAAAACTCAGTCCACACCAGGTCCCAGGTCAACTGCCGCCTGTGATGATGGCCATGTGCCCAAGGCTAAACAGGCACTTGATGCGGACTCCCTGCTTGTTGATCCTTTGCCAGCGGAGGTTCAGAGAGTCATTGTGGAGCACATTGTAAAACATGACTCGCCCATGCACACTCCCTCTGGTTTTGAGCTCCGCTCATTTTCAGGAAACTCTCCAAAACCCCCTAATGAGGTAGAGTACAGGGTATGGCGACTTAGAGCTAAACAGGTACTAAATGACTCTACCCTTTCCGAAGGGCAGCAGCGCCATGTTTTCCTCGATAGCTTGGCTAGCCCTGCTTTGAATGTGGCCCTTTCTATTGGGTCTCAAGCACCACCAAAAGACTATCTCGATGAGCTTGACAAGGCTTATGGCAATGTCACTGGAGGTGAAGAGCTGTATATCCAGTACCTAGAGACTCATCAGAATAGTGGAGAAAAGGCATCTGATTACTTGCGCCGACTCCAGACGTTGCTGCAGGAGGTAGTTGACGGTAATGGCATACCTAGAAGTGATTTTGATGTTCAGCTACTAAAGCAGTTCCTCAGAGGTTGCTGGGATGACTCTCTAATTGCCACTCTGCATCTAAAAGAAATAGTGGGATCTGCACATCATGTTATTCCCACTTTCTCAGAGCTGCTTTTTAAAATCAGAACACATGAGAAAGAGAGTCAGTTAAAAGAAATGCGCAGGAGACGTTACATGAGCGGCACCTCAACTAAAGTGCAGGCTCGAACACTCGTAGCCACAGATGACGGCAGGCCTTCTGGCACCCTCCCACAGCGCTGGATGCTTGTACCAGAGAGCAACTGGAGGAAAAGAAAAAAAAAAGAGGAGTGGAGGAAGTATGTTCGCCCCTTGTACATGCTTATAACTGTACAAAACATGACGCAACTGGAGAAGCGCCCTTCCTTCTGATGTTTGGTAGAGAGCCACGGCTTCCGATGACACTTGCATTGCTCAATAACTTTTTCCTGTCATTACAACAACAGATTGCTGGGTTAGTGCAATCTCTGTCGGGTGATAGTGACGGGGACGTCACACTTTAAGCAGGGGTGGATGTAACCCAGTGTTAATTTGGTTATCTGATATTGTGTGATATTCAGTATATATGTATATACCTATATTGGGTGTTATAAAATGTTCTTCAATGATTTTGAGTTTTTTTTTTATTGCTATTGGTTTGCGGCTGCTTTACGACAGTCGACTGTGGTAGTACATCCTAGCGGGAGGGGCTATGAGCTCACGTGGCTTGTAGCTGTGCCAGAGAGCAAGCTGGGGTGAGCTAGCGGGGAATATCGCCTTCTGCAGTAGCCTTGAAAAGGACTATTGTTCGTTCTCCTGCCAGGTAAAAATCAGTTTCGTATGTATATTATACTATTCCATGTGTTATCATGTGTTTGCTATGATGTGATGTGTAGTAATGGTTATTAAGGTGCTAATCGCTAATCGAGGCTAAGCTAGCAAGCTCGACAATTAGCCGCCATGCTAAGCGGACGTTGGTAGCCAAGTTCGTATGTCACTAAGGGGCTATGAGCTCACGTGGCTTGTAGCTGTGCCAGAGAGCAAGCTGGGGTGAGCTAGCGGGGAATATCGCCTTCTGCAGTAGCCTTGAAAAGGACTATTGTTCGTTCTCCTGCCAGACGCTTCGCTGCTGTGCTGCCTTGCTGCTGTGCTGTCTCGCTGCTGTGCTGCCTCGCTGCTGTGCTGTCTTACTACTGTGCTGCCTTACTGGTGCCATTAAAGGACAAGCGGCCGCCATCCCTTCATCCATCCGGACCTTGATTATTTGGACCGAAGTACTCACACACACGCCCGCACTCAGTGCCATACACTCTCTTTATTTTGCTGGCCAGCTAATACCATTTGTTTTTTTTTTGTTTTGTTTTCATTCACAAAGACTATCCAAAGACATTTTGGTTATTGTCAAATAGACACTCTTTGATTACGGACTGAGGAGGTTGTGGTGTTACAACCCCAGGACTGAGAAAAAAGACTCTTTACATAATATATTCACTTGTCTCCTGGTTAGGAAAAGTGACTATTGATGGAAATATTTTTTCTTCTTCTTGTCTTTGTTTACATTGTATCCCAGAGAGGTTTTAAGTTGTTCAGGTTGAAACATTTGCACTTAAAGTCGGTTAAGTTTCCTTTGATATATCAGTGTCAAGCTGATGTTTAAGAGGGTATGTTAAGGACAGATGTGCTCCAGTCCATCAATCCTTTAAAGTGCTGGACACCGATGGTAAATTGCCATCAGACCCTAAATAAATTGTCCTCTGCTGTTATCCATATTGCTTCACTCATTCTTTGGTGAGTAGACGTATTGGTTACATAGAGACAGTCGTTATATGTGTTTACATGGAGCGAACTGTATGCTGATGTAATGTACATGTTAAGCTAGGCTAATCGGCAAGTTGTTATTAAGATGTGTATTAGCTAGCAACTTATTTTTATTTTCTGTGTTTCAGTTACAAATAAGAAATAGCAAGGAGAAGCCTTGAGAGACATAAGGCTTTAAAAGGATCTTCAATAAAAACAAGAAAGTCAAGCCTTGTGTGGAAGACCTCTTCTATTTGTTCGCTAGCTGTCTAACCTCACAGGGTCACGTGTCGTGAGGGCAGCATAATCAGGGTTTCTTACCATCACTGGCTCTGAACTTTGCAGTGATATACTCATCTCCAGGGAACTTGGCTCTTTTCTTGTTGGCTGATGCTCTGGGACAACCTGACAGACTGAGAGAAGCAGCTGATGAGGATCAAGAGCTCTTACATTCTCACACAAGGCTGAAATAGTGGACATGGATGAGAAGGGAGACACACACACACACACACACACCTTGAGCAACCCCTCACTTTTTCAGATTTTGCCAGGGAAATGGAAAATAGGTTTTTATTTAAATGTACAAACATACATGAAAATACAGCAAAAATAGAATTTGTACATTTCAAATGAGCTTTATTGTAAATATTTTGCATGGCCACCTTTATTATTTGTCAAAGAACAATTCAAAAAACCCTCATGGAACTGAGTTCTTGGGGCTGGTTAACCTTAAATTGTGGCCCACCATTGGATCCAGCCCTGGGTCCATGGGGCCTGTTCGGGCACAGCACACAAAAATAACATAGTTTTGCCACCCTGTGGATCCACCACCCATGGGTGCAAGCACTGTGGTTGGGTGCAATGTTTCTCTATAGAGACTTCAGTGCCCACAATGTTATTGGAAATCTGTGCAGTGAGTGAGTGAGTGAGTGAGTCCCATCCCAGGGGAGGGTGGGGTAAATAAAGTCATAATGGGCCATGTTCAGGACCAATTCGGAGGAATCCAGCTCATCTGTACCTGTCACGGCAGTGGGACCAGGGGTGTTGTGAAGCAGTAGAGCAGTATCAGAGCACCAAAAGGGCTGTGGCTTTGACAATTGTAGAATCATGGGTGTGAGCACCATGTTTGGATGAGATTCACCCTCGCATCTCAACATTGACACTGACATTGTGGGGCTGTCAAATTTAACAAACAAATGTAACAAATCTAAGCATGTTTTCAGCAGGTGTTGGATTCAACCCCTTGTCTCTAACATTCTTGATTTATATTGACAGGATTGCAAGGCATTTCCAGGTTGAGAAGGGTGTGGAAGAGTAGAGCGCAATCTTCAGCATGCACTGGTGCAGTTTGCAACACAGTGTGAAATGTCTGGGATGAGAGTCAGCACACCCAAGAGTCTGAGGCCATGGTTCTTTGCCAGAAAAAGAGTGGAATGGTCTCTCTGGGTCAGAGGTGAGAGGCCTCCTTAATCAAGGGAGTTCAAGTGTCTTATTCATGAGTAATGAGTAACGGAGTACAGGTTGGACTGGCAGATTGGTGTGGCATCAACTGTAATGTGAGCATTGTACTGGATTGCCATAGTGAAGAGGAAGCTGAGCTGAAAGGCAAAGCATTCAATTTACCAGTCCCTCTACATCACAAGAGTTTTCTCTGTAGGATGGCTGGGTTCGGCTTTAGAAGAAGGTTAGGGAGCTCAGACATCCAGAAAGATTTCAGAAGAAAGCTGTTTCTGCGTGTGAAAAAGAGCCTGGGCACCTCCTTTTGGAAATGTTCCAGGCACATCTAACTTGGAAGAGACCAGATCTCCAACCCTACTGGCTGAAATGTACCACTAAACCATGACAGAGTTCCAGTTTAAAAAAAAAAAAAAAAAAAAAAAAAAAAAATACAACTCCCTGTAAACAACTACTATTACACCTGACCTTTTCTGAAAATATTTTTTTTATAATTCCAAATTTGAACTCATTACTTCATAAGACCTATTGCCTCTGATTGCCTCACCTTGAGGCAACAACTGTTGCCTCAAGGTGAGGCTCTAAATGGGTGATATGGTACTACAAGGTCATTAAGATAAGATGGGGCCTGATTATTAAATACCTTTATGTGAGGAGCCAATGAAGAGGAGCCAATATAGGATAAATCTGCTCTCTCTTTCTAGTCCCTGTCAGTACTCTTGCTGCAGCATTTTGGATTAACTGAAGGCTTTTCAGGGAGTTTTTAGGACATCCTGATAATAATGAATTACAGTAGTCCAGCCTGGAAGTAAAACATGCATGAATTAGTTTTTCAGCATCACCCTGAGACAGGATATTTCTAATTTTAGAGATATAGTACAAATAAAGCAGTCCTACATATTTGTTTAATATGGGTATGGAAGGACATATCCTGGTCAAAAATGACTCCAATGTTCCTCACAGTGTTACTGGAGGCCAAGGTAATGCCATCCAGAGTAAGAATCTGGTTAGATACAGTATTTCTAAAATGTTCAGGGCTGAATACAATAACCTCAGTTTTATCTGAATTTAGAAGCAGAAAAATAGAGGCCATCCAGGTCTTTATGACCTTCCTGCAGTTTAAATAATTGGTGTGTGTTATGGATGATAGATAAAGTTGGGTGTTATCTGCATAGCGTATGTATGTATTAATAGCTCTAACCTTAATCCTACTATTGATCTTGTTTTTAATGTGTCTCTCTTACTTTTTGGATCTTACTGTGACTCTATCCTGGGCATAGATATATTTGGCTGTGACTGACCTTTTTGCTTCTTCATGATGGTCCCCATTGGCCTGTTGGGTACCTATGTACCTGGAGCTGTGCTACACGTATGCTATCGCACCTTCTGTGAACTTCATCCCTTTGGTTTGGATCACCTACAGTTAACTGATGTCTTGCTCACTCCTGGTGTATAGTTTCATGACATCCTTGTACAGGAGTGGCTGAGGGTTATTCCACTCATTTCACTCCTGAAACGATATCTGTATCCGCTCTTAATGAACTGGCTTAGAAGGTTGAGGTCTATCCAGGCTACGTCCACATGTAGATGGTTCTTTTTTCTCTTTTTTTTTTTCTTTTTTTTTTTTTTTTAAAACGCAGCTTTTTCTATGTGTTTGGACCTTTTGTCCACACGTAAACAGCATTTTGGATCACTGAAAACTGAGATTTTTAAAAACTCCTGCCAGGGTGGAGATTTTTTGCATTTACATGTGGACAAGGAAAACTGAGATTTAGTCACGCAATGTCAAAGGTGTGCGCCACATTATTGTTTACATGAGATGAATTTCAACAATGGTGGATATAGACAAAATACTGTTGCTGTTAATCTTACAATCTACAGTTTTTACACGCTTACATATCAAAACACAGTTACTGTCCCTCCATTTACAAAGACAGAGGCGTCAGAGTGAACTTTGGACGTGGCTTCTACATTCAGCACAGACACTTTCACAACCCAAATCCTGATGCCAACGCTGTCGTTGGGTTTGAATACATAATTAAATCATGTATTCTGCATGGATTTTGTCCATTTTTGAGTTTTGAGTCTACACTAGCCATATTTCACAGCACTGTGACTTATGATTATGAATCACTCAGACTAATGTAAAATTTTCAGTTTCTTTCTTAATTGAATAAACTCTGGCCAAGAGAGCCAGTGAGACAAAATTCAAAATACTGTCTTTACTTTTTAACATTTGAAATGATACAGAAGCTTGAAAAGTAACACAAAATTAGCTGTGTTTCCAGAAAAAACACAAAAACTTTTCAGAAGTACTTAAGGTTTTGTGAGGGCACAAAACCCTGTTTAAGCTTCTAGACTTCTGATTGGCCAACATTTCTATACGGTTAGGATTTGCCATGTTCTTGACAGCGTTTGACTTTATTTTTTGCGTTTACATGTAGATGGAGATATTTTTCAAAACTGCATGTGTGGATGGGATTTAAAGTAAAAAAAAAAAGAAAACTGAAAATATCTGTTTCAAAAATACGCGCGTAGGTGTGGACGTAGCCCCAGAAGAGCAGTGGGGACAGTACATCTTGGTATTTTCAATTGAATTAAATTTTAATCATACAGTGCTAAATCATAACAACCGTTACCTCAAGATTCTTTGTATTATCGCGAGTGATGGGAGAAGGGAGCCGGAGATCGACAGACGGATTGGGGCTGCAGTAATGCAGACGCTGCACCGGTTCGTCGTGGTGAAGAGGGAGCTGAGTGTAAAAGCGAAGCTCTCAATTTACCGGTCGATCTACGTCCCTACCCTCACCTATGGCCACGAGCTGTGGGTAGTGACCCAAAGAATGAGATCGCGGATACAAGCGGCAGAAATGAGCTTCCTCCGAAGGGTGGCTGGCCTCTCCCTTAGAGATCGGGTGAGAGGTTCGGCCATCCGGGAGGGGCTCAGAGTAGAGCAGCTACTGCTCCACATCGAAAGGAGCCAGCTGAGGTGGTTCGGGCATCTGACAAGGATGCCCCTGGGCGCCTCCTGGGTGAGGTGTTCCAGGCATGTCCCACCGGGAGGAGGCCCCGGGGCAGACCCAGGACACGCTGGAGAGATTATATCTCTTGGCTGGCCTGGGAACGCCTTGGTGTTCCCCTGGATAAGCTGGAGGAGGTGGCTGGGGAGAGGGAGGTCTGGGCCTCTTTGCTTAGGCTGCTGCCCCCACGACCCGGCCTCGGATAAAGCGGATGAAGATGGATGGATTGTCCTCTTCACAGGGTCAGTGTGCTGTCCTGTGACAGCCCTGAAGGTGGTGTAAGAACTAAAACTCCATCATTCATCTGAATCATCATAATTCATCTTCTGATACTTAATATCTATGATACATTTCTTTTGAGCCAAAGTAAACCAAATTATAATCTGGCAAACACACACCCAGTGCTAATGAGCTATTGTTGCCAACCTGAGCAGCTCAGAATCTTCTTTGTCATCCTTGGTAGGAGTTGATTTGACTCCACTTTTCTTGGCTCGGGGGCATCCAGACAAACTGGCACAGAGGAAGAAAGTGGACCACACAGAAAAGACAAAGCTTTGCTTAAACATAGGCTAAATAAAATTCTTTAAAAGAATGATCTCAAAAAGTAAAAAAGTCATTTGTATATTTTGAAACATGTAAGCTAATATGGGTGAGGCTGATTCTGTTTAATGTGCATTTTAACAGTTTACAAGGACTCAGTACATTTACAGTGAGTTTATGTGAACATTATATTCTGTTAGCTTAATGTTTGTCACTCAATGTCAGCTTCTGTCTTAGTGAGACTGGTGGACTGTGTAAGCAGTAGGGACCAAGGAAATAAGTCTACACACAGACTTTTTTTTTTTTATTATTGCCAAAGTGTGACATAAATACACTGAGTAACTGATGTAGTCTGTAACGAATATGTGATTAGAGAGGCAAACTCTCACCTGCGATGTGAAGCATAGTTTCCAGTGATGTGGCCTGATCCATCACAACCTGGAGTTGGACACCTGAGACAAACACACCCACACCTATCTGTGTGTGCGTATGTGTGGTCGATTTTCATGGTGGAGTTGGTCAAAGACCTCCCAGGCAATGAAGCATGTGGTGCAATCCAATTAGGCTGTCAGTAGTACTTCAGGTCTCCCAGCCCTTTGCCACACCTTTTGCCAGACAGGAGGAGACACCAGGTGTTGCTGTGGATAACAATATCATCCAAGTAAGCAGCAGCAAAGTCAGAGCAGTCATGTAATACCTGATCCATCAGCCGTTGGAAATTTGCTGGAGCTCCATGTAGTCCAAATGGTAAGACTGTAAATTGGAAAAGCCCCCATGGTGTTCTGAATGCTGTGAACTCTCTGGACCGTTGAGTGAGTGGGACCTGCCAGTAACCCTTACACAGATCTATTGTGGTCAGGTACCTTGCTTTTCCCAGACGTTCAAGTAGATCATCAATTCTTGGTGTCGGGTAGGAGTCAAACATGGATATGGAGTTCAGGTACCTGAAATCAATGCAGAACCTCATACTCTCATCCTTTTTGGGTACCAAGACCACAGGGTTGCACCATTCACTCTTAGATCTTTCGATGATCCCTAGGGATAACATCAAATCAATTTCCTTCTTCAATGAAGGCAGCAGACGTTCCGGGATCCTGTAACTTAATCGTCTCACAGAGGCACCTTCTCGTACCACAATATCATGTTCGACAATGTCAGTTCTCCCTGGATTCTCTTGAAAGACTGCTGATTTACACATTTCTCTCACCTGCTGCTGCTTGTCCTCTGGGAGATGGCTGAGATCATAATCCAGAGAGCCAGCAGGTGGTAGATATTGCTCATCTGCTTCATCTTCTTCAGGCACTCGCCGTATGAGCATTGCATCTGCCTTGTGTTCAATACGCTCCACCCACTCCTTCAGAAGGTTTATATGCAAGACCTTGCTTGAGCGCAACTGCCCTGGGGTGGACACCTCATATGTGGTGGGTCCCAGCTTCCT